GTCGTTCGCCTATTCGTCCCGGAATCATATATCCATAAGCAAGCCCAGACCAGGACAGGCAGAAGACCGACAGTGACCAACCCACACCACGCCTTGGCTGGCATATTTATCATGGTGAGCGAGGCAATATTTGCCGGGCTTAGATGGGTCCGTCTGTACTGTGCGTGGTGGGAAGCACAGAAGAGACTCAATCGCATCGGCGGGTGGGTGCAGAAGCAACCGTTGGAGCACTACAGATACTAGCCTCAACGAATTAGCATCTTGCATGTTTGCTTTTTCTTGCCCATCCTTCCACTAATGCAACAGTGGTGAAAAAGCAACACAATCCTCGGTCTCGCCATCACACACCAGGGATTGCGTCGTGACCGTGGACCGGGGCTCAGGCAGACAAGACCGTCGCCGCTGGATGGTTGCTCCTGGCTAGAAGCGATTGTCAGCAAATTTCTTAGGCTGGGGCCACCAGTTTGTCTAGACGATCAGACGAGTAGACCCAACGGCGTATCTTGTATTGCGCCAGGACTCGGGCACTGAACCGCTCACGGAAAGGCTCAGTGGCCATCACACATTGAGGAGAACACCACCCCGAGGCATCCTCCTTCTAGACTGTAAGGGGCTTAAGCCATATTCCTTAGAGAGAGTATTCGAGATAGTGAGGACTTGCTGAAACAATGGTGCACACGGCGGGGGCTCGGGTACCTACGTACTGGAATTGCCCTAGCTCCAATGGGGATGAATGATTTCCTTTGCTCGCTGGGATTGGGTCGTTCAGCGGAGGCCCATGCTTCCTGCAGCAGGGGTAGCACCAGGACAAGCACCGGGGGCCACCAGGGGCACGGGGGGAGGCCTTGGTCGACGCTTGTACCTGTCTAGCGTTCCATTGACACCCAGAAGAGCAGCTTGCAGCTCTGTCCCCCGTCGCCCGCCCAGCTCCAGCGCAGGTTTGGGGTACAGGTACAGCCAACCCCCTGCTTGGCCCGTCGACGACCACGCGTGGTACATCCGGTTTGCCCCCCAACACCGCGGACATCCATGTACCCGACCTGGGATTACAGTGGTGGTCCATGGGTTGATCTTCCATCAATTTTCCACTGCTTCGGCTCGGTGACACACTGTAGGGCGCATTGATGCGAGACCTCCTCAGCTCCTCTCCTGGCCCATCCCCTTTCTTGGGTGTTGGGTGTCTGTATTCGTACATGCGATCATACGTGGAAACTCTGCGCTTCTTCCGTGTCTGTGCTTGGCCATCCGTCTGTGCATCGCTTCCCTACCCTCCGGCAGCCTCTCCCGACTGTTAGGCCTCTTATCCCTCCCCCTCCCCATTTTCTCTTACACACTACTAGTACTCGATCCCACCCAAGCCCGGTGCCAGACCTCCTTCTTTCTTCCTCTCTCCTTCGAAGCACCCTCCCGTTCGAGGTTCGACTTTCGTTACCGAATGGCTTGTTGAGTTAATTATAGTGCGAGAGCAGAGAGAAATCGCCAGAGAGCACTTCTTTCTTCCGCATCAACTCTCAACACTGTTATTACATCCATACACCACCTAATAAGCGTGGCCGCGACGCCATCGCGCAACGTCTATCCGCCATGGCTCCCTCTCTCAGCACGCACCCTTCTTTCACCAGACCTCGAACCAGCGATCGTGATGGCCGGCCCAGCACCCGCGACCAAGGCCCCGACCTGTTAATTCCCAGCCGTACCTCGTCGCTCCATTCTCGCATTACCCAGCCAGCTCCAGCGACCCTCTCCCAAAAGGCGCAGCAACGTACCCCGAAAACGCTCACACATGCCTACATGGTATGTGGTGTTGGCCGTGAGCCTTCTCAATGGGTCAAGGCCCCAGCTCCCGCCCAGGGCAAGATTGGTCACATGAAGGGTGCTGTTGGTCAGTTTTGGCTCCCCGAGATCTTGGGCAGCAGCCCCAGACTGGAACAGGACAACGAGATTGCTCGTGCTCTCCACGCAGCTATGAAGGTATGTTTCGATTCATTCGGTACCCTCAAAGGATCATTCCATACTAACCAAATTCCTAGGCATGCTTCCCCCACGATGTTGAGATCTGCACTGGCCGAAGCCAGCCTCACTGCGTCCACCATGCTTTTGTTCTCCAGCAAGACTCTTCTCACACCCTTTACGGAATTTCACTTCGCGTCTGGTCCCGGGCTGATGAAAAACGAGCCGAGACCATCCGCGACTTGCGAAAGAGGACCGAAACGGATTTCTACGATAACGTCGACGAGACCTACTGGATCCCTTACTGTCTTTCGTTCCTTTCTAGGTATCCTCTGTACAATCTTCTCGGCGACTATCTCCGTGGCATGTGGATTCACTGGAACAAGGCCACAAACCTTTTCCACGCTGAAGAGGTTTCCCGAATTCTCAGTTTCCCGGCACCTCGCCTGAACGACTTGGTTCGCATCGACATGAAGGACTATGCTCTGTGCTACCAATTTCCTTCTTCGCCTACTGGCTTCCAGAACTTCGCCATGTGGCCCCTCTTCACTTGCTTGTCTATCCCTAACATTGTTGGTGTGATTGAGGCCGCCATTTCACCGACCCGTCGCATCATCTTTGTCAGTCACTACCCAGCAATGCTTACCATGGCTGCCGAGACTGTCCGTTACTGTTCCCGCGTCTATGAGTGGAGCGGATTGTACGTCCCAGTCGTTCACGCCCGTCATGCCCAGGAATTGGCTCAGGAGCCTGGCCCATACATCTTGGGTATCACTGCTGAGTGCCGCTCTCTTTTCACTGCCCCAACAGACGCGCTCGTGGTAGACCTCGATCGTAACTTCGTTCTCACCTCGAACCCACCCACTGCTCTTTCGCCGGGACAGCGCAACAAGTTTGTCTCACGATTGACCCAAGCTCTCAATGGTGATGTCAGCCCCACTGGTGTGCCACAGCACCTTCGCTCCGCCTACGGAGGTGGCAAGCTTATCCCTGCCGGCCAGATTATTGTCATGCGCGGCGAGGTTGAGTCCATCCAAGACCCTGAGTGGTGGAACCAAGACGCTGTTATGGCTGTCATGGATCACGTGTGTGAGAAGATTGGCCGCAACACTGGTATCAAGGCCGTGTTTGGCGGTGCGCAGAAGAAGCCTTTGATGACCAAGGTTTCCATGCGTCACCTTAATGAGATTGTGCGAGAGCGTAACCAGTACTCGCGTGATGCTTTGGAGGCCTGGCAAGACTTCATCAACCTCAAGGGTCGTATGGATACTGAGTTGAACAAGGTCAACAAGCGTAACAACTACCTCGTCGAGGAGCTCGAGAGCTGGAAACAGCAGTTCCTCAAGTTCCAGGCATTTGCTGAGCAGCTCACTAAGGAGACCCAAGATCTCAAGGTCAAGATCGAGACTCATAAGAAGGAGAACCGACGCCTTGCTGGGCTCATTGATCAACAGAAGGATGACAATGCGCGTCTCTCGGTCCGTCTCACTGGTACCGAAAAGCAGCGAGACGACGCCCTCGAGGCTTTGGTTCTGCAGCAGGAGATTGCTGAGGAATTGGAGCGTGAGCGCAAGAGAAATAAGAAGGAACTGTCTCAGCTTCAACATACCAATGCTACTATTCTCCGACAGCGAGACGAGGCCCGTCGCGTGGTGCTCCACCTGCGCAGCCTTGTTGGCGGCCAGAGCCACCATCTGGAACATCTCATCCAGACCCTTACTAGGCCTGAGGATCTCCTCCAGGAAATTGAACAGTACATGGACGATGAGGAGGCTTACGCTGCTCAGGAGGCCGAGCAGAACGCAGAGGCTGATGACAAGCGAACTATCAAGACTATCCCTCATGATCGACGACTTTCGGCCTCGAGCTTCATTGATGTTGCCGACAGGCATCTCAAGGATAAGACCGACGCTATTGCCCACATTGTGCGCAACATTGCAGAGCAGTGCCAGGCTGCTGTTGAGAGCCTTCAGCTCGCTCAGGACGCCGAGATCCGCTCACGCCGTCGTGGCAGCAACCTCTCCACTGGACACAGCGAGGACTCTCATGATGTCCACTCCGCTGCCACCTCGGAGACTGGCGACGATAGCCTGCTCCACCCATCTGGACGAGCTTCCAGCATTCCTCCCACACCGGATCTGATCCCAAACCGAAGCAGCACTGCGATGTCGTACGCATCAACGGCGGTAACCACACCGGAGCGTGGCAGTCAGCAGTTCACCGTCCGGGACGATATCCCTACAAAGATTGTAGAGGATGATGAGGGAGAATACGAAGAGTCACGAAGTGATTCTCATGAGAATGGGGTTGTGTCGAAGCACACCAGCAATCTCATGCAGCGCCCTGCCGGCGCCAGAATCAGTGCTCTGGGAGCCACTCGATAAATATCAATGCCCAGAGGGCCTTCATACCATATTGGCAGCACACTCGACGGTCACTGCTTGCTAACGTTCAAAATTAAGGCGGTTTTGTCGCTTGACAGGTTGCACCTATTGTTTCCCATGTAATTCTCTTGACTTCCCTGGCGGTTGAAATAGCACCTTGCAGGCTTCGGCGTTTAATGTCTCTTTTTAGCTTTTCATTTTTCAATCTCTTTTACACCCCCAGGGAAGAAGGGGGGCTCATTTCGTACCAACTACCACCTTGATTATTGCGAGCGGGACTTGGATTTCTCAGTCATGTCATGTTACATCTTGTCTTTGTTTCTAGATCTGGGGGGTGGTATTAATTCCATTCATGTCCCTCCTTTACTTGGTATGCTGAGCCACCTTGAATGATAAAATAAAGTTTTGAATTTGAATATTACCTGTCTAAATATGTTGCATGTACTAAAACGTCTTTCACCAACGTCTTTCTCGTCCTTTACCGGGTTTATCTTGTAGTTTGTAGTGGCTTATGTAAGCTCGAGGCAACACATAGGTAAGTGGTCTAACATGGCTAAGTCAAATCATGTATCGATAAGATAAGATAGCGCAAGTATTTGGAAAAGTTGAGGATTCAGGTCACTTCTGTCCTGCCACTCTGTATACCAATCATCACAATCTACAACGATGTCGGACCCTTTACTTACGTCGCTATGTTCAATTTGCCACATATCACCCCCCAAGTATAAATGCCCGCGATGCGGCACGCGCACATGCTCCCTGCCGTGCACGAAGAAGCACAAGGCCTGGGCCGAGTGCCCTGGCACCCGCGACCCGACCGTCTACAAGGCGCGCAAGGACCTGCGGACGGCGGCGGGCATCGACCACGACTACAACTTCCTCCACGCGATGGAGGTCTCGATGCAGCGGACGGAGAAGCACCTGGTCGAGGACAGGGGTCTCGTCCAGACGGAGGAGCTGCGCCCGCTGACCATGCAGGAGGTCAAGTGGAAGGCCGGCCGCGACGGCAGGAAGCGCAAGGTGCTGGTGACGAGGGTGCTGCGGGAGGCGAAGGGCAGGGTGTTTGAGCGGTTCCTGGCGCACGGGCTGAGGAGGCTGAACATACGCATCCTCTGCGCGCCGAGGGGGATGTCGCGGGAGCAGGAGAACAAGACGACGCTGAACAGGAGGTCCGGGCGGATCAATTGGCAGGTGGAGTGGCTCGCCTTCGACGACGCCGAGGGGGACTCGAAGACGGGGGAACGGGCGACGACGCGGATATTATCCAAGGCCATGGATGATGTGCCGTTGTACCGAGCTTATAAGGATATGCTGGACGGGCAAAAGAGGCTGGCGAACAAGCTGGCGGGCATATCGGTCAGCGGACGCACCGGCATCCAGCACATGTCTGCTGCTACCTGGTTCCCGGCCCCGAGCACGCTGCAAGAGCCTGGAACTGGATCCTGGGTCTCCGCCGAGTCTGTGTTCGCAACGGGGACTTGGCCTTCCGACGAGGAGGCTGAGCTGCAGCGGCTGCATTGCTTCTACCTGGCGAACCCGCGACAGCGCCCGGATCATATTCAAGTGGTTACGAAGATTGAGTCGGGCGATTGCTTGCGAGAAATTCTACGGAACACAAATGTCTACGAATTTCCTACCGTGTATGTCCTCCCGCAGGGACAGGCACTCCCCGCAGGCTTTGTCTTGGGGCCCAAGGACATGAATCAAGAATCGACATTGCCTTTGCGCGCAGGGAACAAGCGGAAAGGCGTGCCTGACCGAAACAACAATGCGTCGCGCGTTACTAAGAAGAGGAAGCAAGACGCAGAGGCAGGCGAGATTGGCAGCGACGAAGACGAGGTGGACGGCGATGCAGAGGATGACGCTGGCCCGAGTAACCAATCGGTTGGGCTTGAGCTAGGGGAGGTGCTTGAGGAGCAGAGCTTTGGGGAGGAGGATGACGATGATGATTCGCCTACGAGCAGCTCCGGGTCAGACAGTGATGACGACTGAGGCAGTTGGACAGCTATGAAGATGAAATCATGCAGTAGTTATTAATTGTTCTAGCGAAGATACCCATGGTAAAATAGAAGAACCACCAGTGGCCTTGGTGAAAGAAATAGGATACTCTGCCCGCAATAAGTAATAAATTCGTTCATGTAAGAATTGATTAGGCGGCGTTTCGAATTGGGATTTTGGATGGTGTTTTGAACAAGGGGCTGGTTCTGATACGCACTGAGAGGCACTGAGCTGAGGCTGTGCTGGAGTGGCCACTCAGCGGTTGAAACCACCAAGTCTCTGGCGCTGTTAGACATCCACCACGTACGTATCCTTTAAAAAGGTAGGCAGCAACCAGAATCGCGGCCACCACCGAACCTTCAAGCCGCGGACCAGGCGACTGATTGCCAGCAGACGACACTCGGATCTGCGTCGCACAATGGTCTGACTGGCCTTGCGCCCGCTCGCCTCTGTCGCATAGTTCACAGCCGAGCACCACCACCCCCCACCGCAGCACCACTATCATGGACCACACGCCAGCTCCAAAGCTGTCCGAGCTCCTACGACACCCCGACGACCTCGACAAGATCCCATCGCTCAAAGATGAGCTGCTACGTAAGAAGGCGGCCGTCGACGGCCAGCTCCGCACCGGTCTGCGGGAGCAGCTCGAGCTGTCCCAGTCGGGCATGAACGGCCTGAGCGACGGCCAGAAGACGGTCCAGATGATCAAGGACGAGATGATCAAGATCGACAAGCTCTGCTCCGAGTCGCAGAACATGATCAAGGACTTTGCCAGCATCAACCTCGTGTCGCAGGCCCACCGCAACTTCAACGCCGTCGAGACCATGCGCCACGACCTCGAGACCTTCAGCAGCAGGTTGGGAGTCGTGCAGGGGATGCTGCAGGAGGACGACGACGATAAAGAGAACATGCCCAACTTCCTGGCCTGCCACTACGAGCTCACCCTGCTGAGGAATATCCGCGACAATGCCATGGAGCAGATCAAGCGAGCCGACGACCCGAGCCTCGAATCGACCTTGGAGGATTACTTCACCAGGCTGGACGACACCATTGAGTGGTTCGACGAGCACGTGGGCCTCATCGCCCTCAACCTGGTCAACCTGGTGGTCAACGAGAACAACGGTCTCGTGGTGCGCTTCGCCGTCGTGATCGACGCCGAGGAGAAGAGCGACCAGCGCGTCCTGGCCGTGCAGGAGGCGCTCAAGGACCACAGGGAGATGGCCATGCGCTTCCAGGGGATCACGGACGGCGCGAGGAACGTCCGCGGGTACAAGGACAAGTTCATGCAGGCCATCAAGTTCAGCGCGCAGCAGAACTTTGAGCAGGCCGGCGAGGAGTTCCTCGAGGACCCGACCAATCTCGAGAAGATCATGAAGTGGTTCTTCAACGACCTCAACGTGGTCAAGATCGGGATGACGCCGCTGGTGCCCAAGAGATGGAAGATTTCCAAGACATATGCCGATATCTACCACGGGCTCATGCACGACTTCCTGATTGGCATCGTGGATGACCCGGACACCAGCTCTGCACACACACTTGAAATTATTGGCTTCCCAGAGAAGTACTACAAGAAGATGGCTAAGTTGGGATTCTGGCAGGAGGAGCTTGTGCCTCATGTCATCGACAACCGTGAGGCTGAGCTTGTTCGTGACTTCCGACAACTCATTATCAAGTTCCTCGACGAGTGGATCGAGCGTATCTTCGCCCAGGAGCAGCGCGACTTCACCGAGCGGAGCGCAGGAGGCCCCGAGGGCGGCTCCAACCTTGACCAGGACGAGTACGGATACTTCAGAACGAAGAACCTGGTGGCCCTGTGGCGTATGTTGAAGGAGCAGGTGGACGCGGCAGCCAACTCGCAGCGAGGAGACGTTGTCGAAGGTGTTATTGACGCCATGCTGGTACGTCTGCACAACAGGCAGCAGGCCTGGCAGAACATGCTCGAGACCGAGGCCGCGCGCTACGAGGCCATCGCCGCCAGCGGCAACACCGAGGAGCTCGAGGGCTTCCAGGCCCTGCAGGACTGGCTCGTGGCCACGGCCAACGACCAGATCGCCTGCATCGACGACAACGAGGACGAGGGCCGCCTCGCCTACCTGTCCAACTGGCGCCAGACCTTCGAGCCTCACATCTCCCCGGCTTACTCGGAGCGCGTCGAGACGGAGATGAACAGCCTCCGCGACGGCTACGTCGACTTCAGCACCTGGTGCATCACCCGCTTCGCCCAGGTCATCTTCGCCGTCGACTTCGCCCAGGTCATGCCCGACTTCTTCACCCCGAAGTGGTACACCAGCACCGCCATGAAGCAGATGGTCGTCACCTTCGAGGAGTACGTCTCCGACTACCGCCAGGTCCTCCACCACTCCCTCGTCGACATCTTCATCGAGATCTTCGCCGACGAGCTCCTCATCCGCTACCTCTCCTCCGTCCGCAACAAGGGCGCCCGCTTCCGCCGCGCCGACCCTTTTGTCGACAAGCTCATCGACGACATCCGCGTCGCCTTCGACTTCTTCGAGTCCCTCCCCAGCCCCGAGGTCGGCGCCTCCATCAAGGAGACGTGGCGCGCCACCGAGCTCTTCCACCAGCTCCTCACCGCCGACCGCGACAGCGTCCCCGACGCCTTCGAGGCCTTCAAGGCGAAATACTGGGACCTGCAGATCACGTGGGTCGAGGCTGTCCTGCGCTCCCGCGACGACTTCGAGAGGAGCATGCTCAACGCCGTCAAGGCCAGGGCCGCCCAGATGAATGTCGAGCGGGGGCCCGAGACGCTCATGAGCAAGGTCAAGTAAGATGGGTGAGGATCGCATTCACCGAATCGAAGCAGGATGACAGAAAAAGAAAAAAGCCATGTAAGAGAGTGGGGGTTCATGTCACACATTATTTTTATCTGGAGACGGTGGGCAGGTTATGTTGGGATCATCAGTTAGCGGATAGTATTCATGTTAGATAATTTTTGAATTATCACGAGATGCAAAGATACATCGACCGACACTGAGGCTCAACGCAGTTCTCGAGTCTTACATTACAGACTACTGGCAGCCAATGTTCCGGGGATATTCAATTATATTCGTCCAAGAGTTTGTAACAGTTACAATCTTGAGTGGAAAGACCACATATGTTACATGCAGTATAGACAAGAAGAAACAAAGAAACTGACAATGGATTAGTAGACATCTTCCTCCGACATGTCCTGTGTGCCCTCCGCTTCACTTCCCCTCCTCTTCTTCTACTTCCTCCTCCTCCTACTATTTCATCCCGAGTAAACACTAGACGGAAAACTACGCTGCCCAATGCAATCTGGCGCTCAAGTATTGAATAATCAGCTGTCTGCCCTCCCATATCGAACATATCCTACCCTTTAAAAGATAGGAATTGGTGTGGAAATGAGGAAAATCGTGAGGACAAAAGAAAAGTATCAAAGCAAATTATGATGAAAGAATGGCGAGTTCTTGGAAACATGGGGTACTTCGTGGCTACGTCTACACCGTCTATGACTGGCTGGCGAGATGGTTTGCAGCCTACACACAAAACACGTTTCGTTAGCACACCTCATTTTATCCATCTGCATCGAGTAGCATTATCTTACCTTTTCAAGGTTATAGTTGTACTTCTCCAAGGCGTTGACGGCATCCTTTCGGGCATACCCCATTCCGACTAGGTCTTTGACGATAGGGTCATCGTGCTCGCCCCCTTCTGTCAGTGCCCGTCCGACAGCAGGACGCTCAGGGACGGCGAGACCGTCTGCTTTGTCTGAGAGAAGGTCGTTTGCTCCCGGCGCAGCAGCTGGCTCGCTATCCAGTCCAGCGAAAATAGCATCCCAATCATGAGAATCTGCAGTCTTCTGCTGAGCTGTAGCACTTGGGGCTGCAGTGGGAGCAGTAACGCCAGGAGCAGAACTGGTAGAGATGAAATCGAAGCTGCTACCATTGCCGAAAGACTCACTCTTCGCCTGGCTACCGGGAGGACTGCTGTCGAATACGGGATTGAAGTCTTCCAGCCCAGATCGAGAAACATCGGCGAAGTCTTCGTATCCTGAACCTTCCTTGGCCTCCTCCAGGCCCTCGAAGTCATCCTCAGATTCGTCAAAGGCTCCCTTTCCGGAAGGGTTCGATGGGGTGGGTTGCTTTGCTGCCGCTGTAGGAGCTGGGTCTGCCTTGCCAAAGATATCATCAATCGAAGAGTGCTGCTGTGTAGTACCAGTGGCTGCCGGTGCCGTAGGTGTAGTTGGGGACGAAGGCTGTTCATGCGCCTCCTTAGCCTGCCCTGGGGCTGAGACTGGGCCGTCCACCTTTATGCCCTCAGTTGCGGGTGCCGAGCTGGCATCAGCAGCCTTGGGCTGTTGGGGTGGTGATCTAGGGGCGAAGTCGTCGTCAAAACCACCCTCATCACTCTCGGAATCGGATTCATCATCTTTCTCAAGCGATGAGATAGGGGGGAACTCGGTGTTGAATACAGATTTGTTCTTTGGTGGTTCAAAGGCGGCATTGTCCGGGCTGGTGCTCTTGGCTGACGCGAAGGCAGCAAATGCGTTGTCAAATTCCTCCTTTGCCTTGGCCTGATCTGTGTTGGCAAAAACATCAGATGATTTCGGGGCATCGGAGGGTTCATCAGAAGCCTTGTTGCCAGCGCCAGCTTCCTCGGAGGTAGCAGGAGGGGGTCCTCCAGGGATATCAGCCTTGTCCGAATCATCCGCGGGGAATGCTCCAGGAAGGGCCGCCGAAGGAGCTGAATCAGCCGGGAACGAAACGTCATTCAAAGAACCTTCAGCACGAGAGGCAGGAGGTGACACTTGGCGGGAGGACGTAAGAGATTCAGAGTGTTGCGGGAGAGGCAAGTTGCTGGAAGTGATTTGTCTAGACTCAGGCGGCGCAGGGGGTTCTGCCAGGGTGGCCTGGCGGCTCATGGTCGGCGATCCATTGGGGGCAGAGTTGAAGCTCACAGCCGAGTTACCGGTGTGCTGTCGCTTGAACGAAGTAGGAGGAGGTGGAGTAGCACTG